AATATTCAAGAATAACTTGCATTACAAAAATTACTCATGATGGATCTTTGTTTCTTTTTTGGTTTAGTTTTAATTGTTTCTCTTGAAGTTCTCCAATCTGCTTTTGTAAATCAATAGCTTCTGTCTCGTCCATTAAATCTTCCTCAACAGACTTTTTTCTGTTTACAATGGCTTTTAACTTCTCTTCTTGCTTTCGTAATTTTTTATTTTCTTTTTCTAATCTTTGTTTCTCTCTCTGTAATTGTTTTTCTTTTTTGATTTTTCTGTTTGCTATCTTTTTAAATTGCATAATTGACTTGGCGTTTTTTTCTTGATTTTCAATTTTCCATCTTTCTCTGCTTTTGACATTTTCATCGTGATTTATGTAGCAGGCACTGAGATCGATATGCAGTTGTAAACAAAAATGTGAGGTTATAGTCAAATCTGTCGTCAAACGGTGAATGGGGTCCGGTAATAGGAACACGTACGGTAGATGGGATCCGGTAATGAGAACGGCAGTACGGAAATAGGAACACGACTTCTATTTCATATTTTTATTATAAAATCATTTTAACAAGCTCTAACACCTCAAAAAATTTTGGGTGCTCTCTTGAGATCCTAAATAACAATTTAAAATTTACTGAGTCAATATTTAGTATCAAACTGTCTTACAATCATGGTAACAAAATAAAGTGAATTTACGGGTGTACGGTAGATGGTGCGTTTACCCCTACAGTTTTTTTATATATTATAGTGTCATACGTCCGGGAGGGAGGTAGAGGGAAAAATAAGAAATTTTGCTGTGTGAAGGTTGCCCATCCCATACACGAAGAGCATTGTGTGGTGAAAAAGCAATCGTGAAAGTCACAGAGTTACTTGCTCAAAAAAATCGCACTGGCCGGGAATCGAACAGCGATCTCCTGCGTGCCAACCCATGACCTACCCGACGAAGCCACCGCGCACTCACAAATGTAGTTCGTAAATTTCGATGATCATAGCAGTTTCGCAGATGTAGTACATTGCAAAATAAACAGTAGCACAGTAATGCATTCTCAACTTTTTCATACTCAATACCGTCTGTTATTTGCACACAGTATGGTCAGCCTCATTTTCAAAAACCATGTCGTCGGTATCATTGTTGTGAACGTCGTCATCAGTACCTCTTGCAGAACATCTGCTACGCATGATTGTGTACACTTTTCTTTAATACAAATCGAACCTTTATTTTATTATCTCCCAAAATTTATCGTTAAACATGCAGATCCAAAAATATAAAATATTGAAAGTAATTATACAATTTCCGGATACTTTAAATAAACAATTTTAAGTTTTACTGTACTATTTGCCTCCCTATATTCATTGAACTTCCTTGAGATTTACCTTGTTAAGGTATTTCATGCCCCTCAGTATTTCTCAACCTACTTGTGTGGCAGTTAATCATCAGTTTATCAAGTGATTGTTGTTGTTTATCGTTAGTTGATACCTTAGTGATCTAATAAACTTTTAGATTACAAAACTGATAACAAAGTCGATGATTTTAACGAATTGACTGCTGTATAGATGGACTAAAAATAAAGACAATCATTTAAAAATATAGATATCTTTAAAATGGCACGCGACATGTTAATGATTTGTTAACATACATACCATGGTAATGTTTCTCGCATTATAGTCAACTATTAAAACTATTGTAAGAAAATTTTAAAAGTTTTTTTAATAAAAACAGGTAGTTTTAAAATACTTGCTTATAAGATGTAGTGTTAAATTATGTAAATTGAAAGTTGAATATCTCTAAAACGGCCCACTAAATCGACATAAAAATTTAACTACGAATGTATATGTGAGGGTCAGTAACTTATACATTAATTTCCAATATTTTTGTAAAAAAGTTTATTTTGGCATGAACTACCGTAAGTACGATACTTAGAAACAGTACGTATAAATTTGAGTTTTAAGAAATCATCTCTATTTAAGTTTTAATAGAAATAAAATATAATATTGTGCGGGTATGGTAGGCTTCACTTTAAAGGTTAATTAATTTTATCTTTTTTTTATAATGGTAGTTTTCCTACGAGTTTGAAAAGTCTCTGCGAACCGAGAGGTTTGCGGACGAGCCGAAGGCGAGGGACGTAACGAGGTTCGTAAAGGAGACTTTTCGAACGAGTTCCGGAAAACTGCTTTTTCGCCTGAGGAAGTACCAGCCTCCCAAAACCACCCGAGGGCGGAAATGGTACATTACGTCAGTAGGGTACAAAGTACAAACATGAGCGCCCAAAGGGCGCGCTTTTTGTAGGTTGGTGCCCGAGTCGCGTATAATGTTTTTCTCACTTTGTGCCCGTGGGCACACTTTGCGCCCAGTAAATCACTTTGAGCCCTAGGGCAGAAAAGTACTTTGGGCCCGGAGGGCGCAAAAAATTTTTTTCCCGTGAGCCCCAAGTGATTTCTAGGGCGCAAAGTGTGACCCGAGGGCGCAAAGCGGCAGTTGCACTTTGGGCCCATAGTAAGAAAAATTAACAAACGCAGGTTTTTCTTGAAAAAATAGATAAAATAAAGAAAAAAATATATAAAAAATAAATAAATTAATTAATTAGGTCGGGATGATAAAAATATTTGAAACGTGTAATATTTGTAATTTTTAGTCGTAATACATAATAAGGTACACGGCAAATTTAAGATGAGTATCCAATTTCGCAGTATGACATGAGAAACATGTTTAGAATCTACTGAGTATTTGTGTTTTATATGCTAAATTCAGGAACAAATTATTCATTGATGCAGATACAAGTGTGGATATACAAGAACTAGTTTGCATGTGCGGTTTGACAAAAGTGTAGGGATAATCGTAGGTAGGGCACAGTGACCTCGGAAAAACATCTGTTTGACTTACAATGATGATATCATGACGGGGTTTTTTGCGTACATGAAATATCTAAATAAATGCCTCATAATGACACTGAGATACGTTGTTGGAGCGTTACGCAACCTTTGTAAGTCTCATTAATGCATGTTGTTTTAAGTATTATTAAAAAGATTTGTTGCAATTGTCATTGCATTGTATGTTTAAGAGAGTATTTTTAAAGGACAAGAGAATATTATTTTTTATCACTGAAAAAAATTATACGGAAAATGAAATTGTTATTAAAAGTTTATCTTATCAATGATCTAGATTTCGTTGATTAAAATACACCTTATTACGCAATGTGTAATCTATTTTATTTGTTCAATTTATAAATAACTTTATTGTGTTTATCATTAATGTTGAAATATGTATGATCCAATTTTGGAAGACATTAAAAAAATGTCCAAATTACATGATGATGGTTCTAAAAAGCGCTTGCCTTACGTCTTATGTTATTGTTCAGTATTAAGAAAAACGGAAAATAAAACATGCATCCTATTCTGACGTTCGGTCATGAATTTATAATAGTCACGTTGTAAAAAAGGTGAAGTCTTTTGTATATGTAAACGTCGATAATCTGTCAAGAATGTTTTTAAACAAACGATTTGGTTTCAACTGGGTTTTACCTAAAATTTTATGTAAATTGGCTTATTTCTAAATTCCTTAGTTTATCGATTATTTGATATATTACTGGTTGCACAGAATGTATTTGTTAATAAAAAAAACCAAGCCTTGAGATCTGCATTAATCAAAATAATTTTCGCACAGTCGAGTATCATTCAATTCAGTTACGTATACTATTTCAAATAATTGCTAAGTTCAGATGAAACACTTTGAAAGCATTCGTGTATAACATACACTTACATTCTGCATAGGTGTGTGCATTAAAACATGAGAAACGACTGGAGAAGGGGAAAAAGGCAAAAGAGAGAAAATATAAAGGAACAGTTGACCAACATATAAGCTTGATATCGGGACCTTGATCTTTCATATTACATCATATGTGTATATATATATATATGTGTGCGTGTGTGTGTGTGTATCTTACCAAGTATCTCGGTTTATCTCTTCCTTGGAATAAGTCGCGAAGAAACTTTAAACTCACTCTCCTTATTTAATACTTGAAGGATATTTCACGGATGGTCTTAATTTCTTCGAAGACAATTATCAACGGTAGTGCAGAGAAGAAGGAGCTGAGCCAAAAAAATTCAGTGGGTGCTTTTGATTGAGCTTCGTACCGAACTTACAGCGAGCTCTGCGATAGCGCTCAATTATCGAAATTATCAGTATGACGCGTCAGCTTTACCTATACATTAGTACCTATACTTAGCTGAACAGTGCGCCGGAGTGTAGAGTATCTGTATGTTCGTCTTGCTGAAACACCAAGTCAAAAGTACACCCAAAGAAGGAGAAAAACTATAGAGTGTCAGCTTCAGCGTGTACAAGACCATGGGTGTCCCCAGGAAGAGGCAGGTGAGGTTTTCTCGTGACATACATGCTTCATTATATATGCTGTATTGTATTATATTGATGATGCATAAGAAAAGCGCGCGTACATGACGATGCTTTACAAAATTTACTTGCTTTCTTTTTTTTTTTTTTTTTGTCATGCTCTAAAAGCCCAATCTACGAGAGCAAGAGTGCTTTTACAGTGCGTGCTATTATAGTTATTTATAAAATTGCACCGTTTGACATGTCTGTCGTCTATTATCTAATAGCTGTGAATATAGTTGATTATGCGCTCCACATAAATACCCACAAGCTTTAATTAACAATGCAGTTAAGCTGATTATAAATTTTTGAATATTCGTACCTAGCATATGTATGTATACAATTATATTAGTACTGATGAGTCACGGTGAATCAGGTACATTGTACGCGACAGTGAAATATATAAATAATCACTCATGTCGAATAAATGGGAATATTAATTACATCATTGAATACATGTGGGTCATTCTACGAGATCCGGCATATTTCCAGGCCCGGAATGGACAAACACTTAAAATGAGTTTTTTATTTTTCCTAGATGTTTTTCGTATTGTTCGCGAAAAAAATAAGCTAACAGTTTTTGGGCCTTGTTAGATCTGCACAATAAAAGTTTTAATGGCAACTTCTTTATTTCAGACATGCTCTTCGTCTGCTAGTTGAGGCATAAAAAAAATCATGAATAAGGAAATTTTTGCCATTGACAAGGGAATTGTTCTTATTACTTACAAATATAGCCTTATTATTAGGAAAAATAGTTTTGTTACACCAACTGTCAGTTTCATTGTTATTAAACAAACTATGAAAATTAATGAAATTTTTTGTTACATTTTAGCTTGTTACTCCTTTCCTATTGATCTGATTAAAAAAAGAATAATAGCAAAATTATTTGTGATAAAATTTTCTACCGATAATAGTCCTTCAGATTATAGAATTTTTTTTTATAAGTATTGTTATGTTGTATAAAAGCGCGAAATTTCCTGTTATTAATATTTATTGACAAAAATGATTGGAAATTCGGAATTACTTTTCTGTTGTATGGATTTCAATTGTTTTTGAGCTCCACCAATCCCCTCCCCGCCAATTTTCAAAAACCCCCCGCATTCCCACTCCCTGTCATGACGAATCCCGTCTCCCTTCATATCAGGTACTATTAGTCGTCTCCTTAAATAACTTCCTTTGGTTAAACTGAATTGTTAACATTTTCTTTAATTTCTTGTTTCTCTCTATTATATTTTGTTCAGAGAACCTATACAATTCTAAGAGTCACAACATTCATATCATATATATAAATGAATATTTATTTCTTTTTTTCATTACAGAAAGTACACTGACAGAAAAAAACCATAACTTTTACCGCGATTCTCCTTACAAAAATTACCGTTCAGACGGTAATCGTGGGACAAAACGACATCTTGGAACTTTTTGACCTAACATAGTCAATTTTTACCGTGCTGACTGTAAAAATCGTCGGGTGCCTAAAAAAATTTCCCCCACTGCTCTTGTATATAGATGTATATAGATAGATTATTGCAATATAGCATCATTTGTTCAACTCGTCCGTACTCGAAGATAAAATCATCAATTGATTTGAAAAAAATTACACACGTTCCTCATAGTGTCTATGTAACAATAGTATCCATCCGATGATCAAAAACATTATCCATAATGCTCAAATACTTCTCACCTAAAAACATGAAACATGTATTCAGTCAAAAAAAGTCTGTTATAAATTTTCGAAATTGATATTTTTCTTTGTACGATATTGTTCAATCGGATCTCAGGAAAAGGTGTACAAATTTTCAGGTCATATTAAACAAAAACAGTTGGGGAGCTATTTAGTACAACACACTGACTCCGTTATTTACGTCTTGAGCAAAACAGCTCCTCAAATGTTTTTTGTACAATATTATAACCTGAAAATTCATACACGTATTCTTGAGACCTGATTAAACAATGTCGTACAAAGAAAAATGTCAATTTCGAAAATTTATAACAGACTTTTTTTGACTGAATATACATGTTTCATGTTTTTAGGTTAGTATTATTTGTGCATTATTGATAATGTTTTTGATTATCGGATGTATTCTATTGTTGCATAGACACTATGAGGAACGTGTGTAATTTTTTTCAAATCATTTGATGATTTTATCTCCGAGTACGGACTAGTTGAACAAATGATGCTACATGGCAATAATCTATCTATATATATCTATGTATAAGAGAGCGTGCGGTGGCTCAGTCGGCTAGGTCGTGGATTGGCTCGCGGGAGACCGTGGTTCGATTCCCGGCCGTAGTGCGATTTTTTCGGGCAAGTACCTCTGTGATTTTTCACATGTCCTTTTTCACCATGCAATGCTCCTCGAGGAGGGTTTAGGCGACCTTCTCGCAGCAAAAATTGCCTAATTTCCCCCTACCCCCCTCCTGTAATGGGAGGCCTCCTAGGATGGGAGCTGGTTTGAGTTGTTCTGTTGAGACAACTTTGTGTGCACCGTTTATATCTATTTTATAGTCGAGTTCGGAAATTCGCTCGATGATTTTGTAAGGACCCGAGTAAGGACGTTCGAGTGATTTGGCAGCTAGGTTACGACGAAATACATGTGAGCAAGTGCGAAGATCCTTAAAAAAGAATGGGCAAGCCTTATGACCGTGTTCAATGGGCACTGGTTTGAGTATTCTCATGTGTTCCCTGTAGTCCTCAATAAAAATTTGAGGATTTGCGAAAAAAATTGTCAGGGATGAAGAATTCACCGGGCAGGCGTAAGGTTGTACCGTATAAGAACTCGGCAGGGCAGGCTCCCGTGTCAGTCTGTACTGCAGTGTGGAGACTAAGCAGAACTGTGGGGAGAAGTTTAACCCAATTGGGATCATTGTGACACATAAGTGCGGCCTTGAAACTGCAATGCCAGCGTTCTATGAGCCCTTTGGCAGCCGGATTGTAGGCAACGGTGCTTTTGCGCTGGCAGCCTATGAAGGAAAGGTAGGCGTTAAATATGGTGGATTCAAATTGAGATTCCTGATCTGTGGTCAGAAATCGTGGGGCACCGAAGCGAGCCACCCAAGTCTCTTGTAAGGCACGAAGGACCGTGGAGGTTTGAATACCCTTGAGAGGGACAGCCTCCACCCAAGGAGAGAAACGATCTATGATGGTTAAAAGGTACAAGAAACCCTCACAGGTCTTGAGATGACCAACGACGTCCATGTGGACATGACGAAATCTGTTGTCCGGAGCTATAAATTGACTGGGCTCGTTTTTAACATGACGAGAAACCTTAGATTGTTGGCAATCGAGACAGCCATGACACCAAGATTTTATATCTCGGTGCGTGTTGGGCCAAACGTATCTTTGACGAATCAGTTGATCTGTAACTTTAGCGCCAGGGTGAGAAGAACTATGAAAAAGATCAAAAATTTGTTTGCGTGAAGCTTTTGGAACGTAGGGACGAAGAATTTTGCCAGTGAGGTCGCAGAAGAGACGAAGATGCTCGTGACCTAGTCCGATGCTTTTGAGTTTTAATGAACAGTCTGAAGACTCGAGGAGTGACTTTAACTCGACGTCGTGCTGATGATGCTGAACAAGTTCGGGCATCTCGATATCAGTAGGTAGGCGAATCATGTCGACGCCAGAGAGAGCGTCTGCTGCGACATTATCTGTGCCGGGTAAATGTTTGATCTCTGTGGAATATTGAGAGATGAAGCACAGTTGTCGGCACTGACGAGGAGAGGCTTTATCAGCCTTTTGCGCAAAATCATAAATCAGAGGTTTATGGTCAGTGACGATTTTAAAGCACCTACCATCAAGAAAATATTTAAAGTACTTTATGGACGTATAAATAGCAGTGAGTTCCTTGTCATAAGCGCTATATTTGCACTGAGCCGGAGAGAATTTTTGCGAGAAGAACGCTAAAGGGTGCCAAGTTCCATCACTCAACTGCTCGAGGGCTGCACCCATGGCAAAGTCTGAGGCATCGGTTACAAGACGCGTAGGAGCAGTGGAAGAGGAATGCACGAGATGACAAGCGTTAATAAGACTATTTTTAGTGTTCTCGAAAGCCTTGATGGATTCTTCCGCCCAATCAATTAGCCGGCGATCGTTTTTTTCTTTTTTTTGGAGTCGTGCGTGAATGCATAGCGAGGAGCCTAAACAGATGCAGCATTGGGAAAGCTGCGCCGATAAAAATTTACAAGGCCCAAAAACCTTCGGAGCTCGAGGACCGTCTTGGGTCTGGGGAAATCGGCAATGGCCTGAATTTTCTCTTTGCACGGCCTTGAGCCATCCTGATCGATGAGGTGGCCAAGAAAAACGATTTCCGATTTGTCAAATTTGCATTTGGCTAGATTAAGGCGGAGACCAAATTTTTCGAGACGTTCAAAAACGGTCTTGAGATGAGAATCGTGTTCTTCAGGAGAGGAAGAGAAAACTAAAATATCATCAAGATAAACAAAAACAAGGGTTAGATCACCCAAAGCCTGATTAATATATCTTTGAAAGGACTGCGACGCGTTACGGAGGCCAAAAGTCATGAAAACATACTCAAACAAACCAAACGGGGTCGTGACTGCAGTCTTAATAATGTCCGTAGGTGCGATAGGGATCTGGTAATAGGCTCTGTACAGGTCAAGTTTTGAAAAAAACTTTTTTACCCTCTAAGAGAACATAATAATCGTTAAGGTAGGGTATGGGGAACTTATCGGGAACCGTGCGAGAGTTTAGACGGCGATAGTCCCCACAGATTCTCTAAGAGCCATCCTTCTTACGCACCATTTGAATTGGGCTGACCCAGAGGCTCTTGGAGTATCGGCAAGTACCATTTCTGACAAGCTGCTCAAATTCTTCTTTGGCTATTTGGTATTTTTCGGGATCGAGACGACGCGTGCGTTCGGTGACCAGTGGACCGAGAGTTTCTATATGATGAAAAACGTCTTTAGCCGTAATAAACTGAGCAGGTTTTTCACCTGTGACTTCAGGGAAGTCAGCAAGAATT